CACTATTAGGTTGGAGGCCATCGCTATTGGGTTGGAGGCCATCGCTAGTAGGTTGGAGGCCATCGCGTTGGAGGCCATCGCTATTGGGTTGGAGGCCATTGCTATTAAATTGATAGCTTAACAGAAGCAGTAGAAACAGCAGAGGCGCTTGCTTACCCACTTCCTGAGCGAGCACAACTTCGATGTCTTGGACGTGAACGCCGCAGGAGGCCGTGGAACGAGCGGCACGTGCTTCGGCCTCTTGCGCTCCTTCCAGCCCTTCCAGCGGCCTTTACACAAGGCTGTGGAACTTAAGTGTGAACCAATCATCATGTGTTTGCTGCGCTTTGGGGCAGACCCGAACAGCAAGGATGGCAAGGGCCGAACAGCATATAGCTACGTTAATTCAAGCGACTTGCGCTATCGCATGCAAAAATTGCATGAACAAGTTAGGTATGAAGGTGCTTCTATTCTTGCGTGAAAATAGTCATTCATTCAACACTGCAAGAAGTACTGTGTTGCTAAGCATGCAGTGCATGTTTGTGTGTGTGTGTGTTTTTCTTTTTCTGCGGCAACAGTCAGCTTTTTCACTTGGAGGCCTCTATTAGAAGCCCTTTTTTCTGAAACGGCGTTTGACCTATCGTTGTTGGACGCCGCCACAGTATTCATGTCCTTGCATTTTTTCACGCGTTTTTGTTTGAATGGCTGCTTTGCCAACCGTTCTAAGCTGCTTGCAATTCAGAGCGGAACATTTAAAAAGTGAGCGTGCCCTGACAGTCTCCTAACCATTCTCTTTTGATGTCCATCAATTAGACACTCAAGCAAAGGTCGCTGTTTCGCACAGACCCACCTCCGAACCAAGATGGACAACTTAAACTTTCTCTCCTCACTTTTGAGTTGGAGCAATCGACCAAATGAACGGCTTTTAATATCCATGTTTGTTTGGAGGTGGGCACCAAAATGGGATCAGACTCAAATGGGCCCTTTCTCGTGCCCATGGGACGTCTTCACTTCTGCATGGCCAAGCAGCACACCAAATGTGCAAGTTTTTTCTCACAGCTGCTGAGAGTCCAGATAGAACTATTCCCAGGGAGCGCGATGCCCAGATCTAGTCGCAGTTGACTTGTTCAATAGCTTGGCAGTAGCGAAGATCACGAGCGAAGAATCTGTAATCAATAGCGAACAATCCGAAGTAAAATGTTTTAGTTGGCGGCTTCCGTTTGGCCAAAATATGGCTTAGGTCCGGTTCGGATGTCATGTTTAGCGGATCCCCGTCCAATCAAAGATGCTGTGCAGCAGCAGTTCATTTGGATATGTTTTGGACTTTTAACAACACTGTCAACCAGGGCATTGATGACCCCCTCACTCCTGCACTTCTCCGGAAGCAGCATGGATTCTTGTGTCCTTCAAACAATCATTTAGAGTACAGCGGAGTTGGCTTGGGGAAGAACAGATTCCAAATTCACCTCGAGGTGTCTCGGGCAGAGACTGTTCTTCATGCAGTCGCCTGAAAGAGAAGCTGTTCATCTTCAGATCAACACGTATTGGCTTCGAAATGTTTGACTGGAAGTCCCAAATTCAAGTAAGAGTAAGTAGGCACCATGAGGGCCAAATGAGCGATGGTGCTTTCCAGCTGCCTTATTCTCCAGTTTCGTTGACACAAATTCTATGGAGAGAATAGAAGAATAGACCAGCGGTTTCAAAGGGGGTGGGCAATGAAGGATAGGGATGCCCATTACAGTATCCACTCACTTGGGGTCTAAAACCACGTCTTTGGAACTCCTGGGATAGGACATTTGTCAGTTGTTTCTCGTATTTGACAGTCCTATGACCCACCATGCGTTGGTCCTCCTGCCTGCATCGATTGTCATTTTCGCCACCTAAAAAGGGGGGCCACGCTTGACGCTTTGCCACTCAGCATAGCCAAAAATGGCCGTTCGTCGATGAGGCCGTTCGATCGGCCGTTCAGTTCGTCGATGCTTTCGAAGAGAAATGGTGTATGTCTCTGTGTGTGGGTGGATGCACCAAGATCCCGGAAGTGAAAACCCCACTTGGACCAAGTCCATTTGGATTTCGTTTCTTCTTGTGTCGATCGGGTCATCCGCAGGTGGCCTTTAGCTGCGAGCAGCTCCTGGATCAGCAAAAGGCCGGAGATATCCACTGCTTTTGAACTGAGGACCTCCCCAAGTGGCAATTCAACGTCTTTATGCAGCAAAGCATGAGGCACGTTCATTTGTCTTCCTTTCGTGCTGATCCATGTGGTCCATGTGAAGGACACATGTGCATGAGCCCACGGCCGCCACAGCCTGTCCTCGATTTGGCAATCGCAACCTTGTGAACGAAACGAACAAACAGCCTGCGTCTAGATTTATCATTCACATGGCACATGAAGCTTTATGCACTCCTTCTTCATACTCCCTGTACCCGCATGCTTTCAAATCAGTTTTCGACGTTGAGCACCATGCGGTGCTTCAACCTGATCTCTCAGCAAAGCAAGGTATCACAACAAACTGACAAGCAAATCAACACTGAAGTCGGACATGCCCACAGGGTAAAGCCCAAAGCACATTGAATGGCTCAACACCTGCCATTGAGATTGATTAACAGGAGGATTTAGAATTGCTGGAAAGCAGACCAGGCTTTGCATCCCTATCCATTCCTGTTATTTTTCTTCAAGCCCCTAGCAGAGTCGAAGAAGGGGCCTTCATGTTTGTTTTCTCACCCTGGGCCTTTACTACTTTGCGTTCTGCTTTCCGAACCACACATCCGAAACCACCGCACAGCGACCGCTCCGCTGAAAAGAAACTCACTGGCCGGGCAGGAGGGTGAAGAGATGAAACTTGGCAGACGGAGGGCAGGTGGACAGCAGTGGGCGAGAGTTCCGTTCCGAAAAAGTGTGAGATGTGTGTTTTGCACCGAGAAATGTGAAAAGGAATTCAGGGATTTTGGTTGCCACACAGCAGTGGGGGACAAAAACAACAGTTGCGTGGTATGTCGCATACAAACCTTGTTGAACGTTTTGGTTGTGACATGTTGTGACCACTCCACGGTTCTGCCTATCGCCATGAAGGGAGACACATCAGTGGATTCATTGGGGGATTGAGTATACAGTATAAAGAAGTAAAGAAAATACTGAGACCCGTCCGACAATCTTTGGTGACCATGGTGCAAAAAATGGTGGCCATAGCAACTAGCATGATCAAAAAACACATGTGAAACAGATTGAACAAATGAAGGTTGGCTTAATACATTGAGTACATTTGAGTACCATAGATTCAAGTTGTGATAAGCAGTAGTGGAAGATTGGGCATTGCATGTGATAGGAATTGCAAGCCACATGTTTGGAATTTGTAATGTCTCCAGAGTCTCGTTTCCTGAAACGCAGTATCTTAATACTGTACGTTGCGAAACTGTGCTGCACATGTTCTGAACCCCATGTCGCCCATGTCCAGTCCCAAAAATCTCCGCACCCGGAAAAGGCAGAGGGACAAAGGAACCCCAAAAGAAACACAGCGTTTTGTCCACGGCTTCGCCTGGCATCAGTGGCTCGCCATGCGCCTCGCCCTGCGTCCATCCATTGCTCGTCCCGGGGTCCAGCACGCGCTCCTGCGGGCGTTGTGCTCCTGCGGGGCACGAACTGTGCCCGTGCGGCGCGTGTGGGGCAGCCGCGTGGATGCTTGGACTCAGCCGAAGAAGCAGTGAATCTATATGAATCTATCACACGAGGCCAAGTTTGGAGGGACGGTCTGGATTGGAGGTCGAATTTCTGTAGACTTTGCAGAACAGCTGAATTTCAGCATACAATTGGACAATTAAGGTCAGATTCTCATGGCTGTTTGGACCCAAAACACAAGATGGACTTGTGATGTCCACAGGCTCTTCGTCCACGTGACTTCATTGACGCTCCAAGTCAAACGCAGGTTCCAAATTGAAAAAATATATCCAGCATCTAAGATACAGCAGACATGTGTGAATCGAAGAAAGAATGTCGAAATATATGTTGTTCACTCCTCTGAATCCGAGGACCAGACGCCCCACTTCCAGGTGCCCTTGGACCAAGCGCCTCAATGGCCCGGGGACTACCCGAAGCAGCTCTGCCAAAATGCGCTGCTTGGATGCAAGAGCTGGGAGATGTGGAAGTTTTCTCTAAGGATTGGAGATTGTATGAGATTGTTAATGCTTGGAAAAGACACACGATGAAACACATGTTCGATTGTCGCTTTTAGAGTGTGGGTTTGGTAATGAAGTGATCACACCAAAGAAGGACGTTTGCAGCTTCCTCTTTTGCAAGCTATATACAGTCACCAGTAGAGTCATGCAAGTCTCAGACTTTTTCCGATTTGGGAAGTCCCATGTCCGTGGATAGTCTAGGTATGTTCGTTCGGTCAAAAACGGACTGAGCACCCTGGTCGTGGCTTTTTGACCCACACTGTCAAACATCCATCCATTACGCGTTGCCACGCTTGCGGTCCCTCAGTCAAAGGGAGAAGGACCGTGCCTTAGAGAAGACCCAAGACTCAATCTGACTACACACGATGGAACCGCCAGCATCCCACAATCAATGTATGTAGTTCCAATACCCGACCTCGTGTGAATTTACCCAGAACGCACCAGAACTGAAACCGCTTCGATGGACGAAACACCCAGGTTCGGCTTCGATTTGAAGCTTTCGGCGGCTGACTTCCGCTCCCAGATGTTCGACGCAGTGCCGCGGCTAGCGTTCGGCTCAGGGTGCTCACGAAACGAGTTCACAGGGCACCGATTTTGGTCTCGACCTGCATCTCCACCAACAAGATCACTGGCAGAAGCATGTAATTAATTAGAAGCTTGCGGAAGGCTTGGTGGTTTTAGAAGCAAGCGTAGAAGCTGGTGAAGTGAAAAGATCATGTCGCACCCCGTTCTTTTCCAAGGGCAGATCCTCAGGTGGAGCGGCATTTGAGTGCGAGACCGGGCGGCGCAGAGGATTTGCTGGAATGGCAGAGGACAGAGGTCCGGGCAGACTTGTTTTTTTGATCTTTTTGCAATCCTTTGTTGGACTCATTGGTTGAAGTATATATTCATGTAATTACAGGTCCAAACAACTGGGCCCATGGGCCCATGATATGATGTCAGTTTCAATCTTCTTAGGAATTCTTCGGGCTTGGGATCTCCCATATCCTGCAGTAGGGCTGGGGGTTTGGGCATGGAGCTCACTCTGTTTCGTTGAGAGGTGGGGTTCATTCGGGGTGGGGTCCAAGTGCGACTTCACACCATGCCTGAGACCCGAGACATGGAGATACTGGCCTCTTCAAGGCCTCTTCAAAGCGAAACTGGCCACCTTTTGCCCACTCACCATAGACGCCATATATATAGATGTTAGTAGATGATGTTGTTTGTTCATATAGATGTTATATAGTAGATGACGTTGTTTGTTGTGTTCGACACCAGGCGTGGTACCAGATGCCATTGATCATGCCGCATGCCTTCCAACCAAGATTCTTCACTTCTGAATGAGTTTTTCTTCTCTCGCTGTTGAAGCCCCTCAGTCAGGTCGAGGATGGAAGGACCCTCCAAATCACAGTGTCATCATGTGTCATCAATCCACCGTCGTACGTGGGTGTATTAAGTCCACCCGCCGTGTGTTGGTGTAGTCCACGTCGTGTTTGTTTCGTGTCATCTCCGGTCCCTTCGACCTTTCTCTTCAGGACGGGCCTCTCCAATGGGCGCTCCCCAGAGTTCGTGGCCCTGCAGATCCCTCCCCGCACCGCCGCCCGGGCCACGAGAGAGACCAAGGAAGACGAGCAGTCTCGAGCGAGCGATGACGAAAGGAAGCGAAAGGGACTCAGACCTCTTCGACTTATTCATGGCCTCATGGAACCACGATGAAGGGGCGTGGAACCACCTGTTTTTTTTGTGTGCGAAAACATAGCGGGAGTCCAGTAGTACTACAAGACAACATTCTCAACGAGCCGAATCCTTTCGGGTGATTTAGTGTCAACGACCTCAAACACAACAATCGACTGAAGAGTCACATCCCACCTTCAAAGTGACCGTCAATGCAATCCCAGGATGTTTGGCCACATCTCATCCCAGAAAAGGTCACAATCCAGTTCAAGGTCACCAACGGAATAGGTCCTGGTTCGGTCTAGTCGATTCATGTACGGCTGGACCTTCTCGACGGTTTTGGTCACTCCAAAGTCTGCATTGGTCGTTGGGTCGTTGGGGGAAAGGTTTGGTGACATGGGATTCTTTTGGCCGCGCTTGGACGCTTTGGGGAGTGAACATTGGAATACCCTCCTTGAACTCATCATTGAAGTGGATGGCACCACTTGCTTGTGGAACATGATCATCCAAGAGGCCATGCCATCCACTTCCATGATTGCTTCAGGGAGTGTAAATCTTATAGCACGGCTTAACCTGCAGAGGAATCTAGGTGTTTGAAAATGGATTTCATGAATTTCCACGTGAATGACCAGCCGGACCAGCCGTGAAGGCGACGTTTCGAGCGGCATCAGGCTTTCTTCGTGCATCAGCATCCGGGTTCCGCGGCAGTCCATTCATTGCGAATTCCAATCGCCGAGACCTGCGGAAGGATCAGTTGTTCATGATAATTCGACCAACTGTGTGTGTTTTTCCTCCTTCACGGAGTCCAACTGACATGATGGAAAGCACGTAAATGCAAGTAAAGATCAGGTTCAGTGATGTTTGAGAGATGCAAAAAGGCCAAAGCCGGCCGAAGCCAACTGGATCCACTTGTGTCCAGCATCCACTGAACTGCTAAGCTAGAATCGTACTCTTTTGAGCGACTCTCTGGATGTGACATTTGCATAACACAGTCATGTTGCAGTCCGTCAAACAGGTGTGTTCCTTGCAACCCTTTGGAAAACATGTTCAAACAAAAGTCGAGCAGAGGTTTATACACACACACTCAGACAAATCAGACTCAGACAACAATTAACATCCAGCACGGACAGGAGCATAGTCGGAAACCAGCAAATACATGTTAATACATGAATATATATTGATAAAACTATATGAATGCATGATACTTCTTCATATCCACTCAGATAATATACAAGAGAATAGGCCGACTGAAGAAGTCCGAATTGGTCTTCTCAGGCATTGAGTTGGTCTTCCTCTTGAAAGGCTCCATCTGGGAGATTCGCCTCGAGGAGCCAGCGCAGATCCAGCGCCACGGGACGAGAAGTCAGCCGAGTGTCGCGCCACTGGTGTTTGTGGTTTTGAAACAGAGGACTCTCTGACTCACTAACATGGAAGTGGAAAATGGCCACAGGGAAGTCTGTGTGTTTCTTTCCTACATTGGATTGTACTTGCTTTTCGGATTAAGGCGCAACAGTGACTTGGATTGGTTCAGCCTCAGGTACCTTCTATGATGTGCACATGTGGGACCAAGCCGGTCAGCATCACCCCAGAACCAGACGTTCGCTTTGCTTCAACTGCCCGTCTAGGGCCCGTCTGGCTCATTTGGAGCTGGGTCAGAACACATATCGAATCAAAAACATACTGTTATGTGGACACATTATAAAATTCACCCGGGGTCTTCAGTGCCACCACGCTGGAGGAAAGCACCGGTTCCAGCCCCTAGTTCCTGAGAAATCAGTGCCGACTGGTGTCCTTTGTGACCCATGCTCACCGGTTCTTTACAAGGCAACTGCGTGGAGCCTATGGCACCCTACGATTTGAAAGATCCCGCGCTCCTTGGCGATACTTTGGAAGAGTATGACAAAATTCATGTTTTGGGTAGCCGGGGATAGTTTGCAGTATTATACTTATTACTATCTCAATATTCACTCTGATTCAGACACACAACTTCCCTTGAGGCAATCTTCAGTCGTTCTTCCAAAGACTCAGTGGACATCTTCTTGCTCTTGCAACTCAAGATCATCAAGACAGATCTTTGCATGAGTGTGCGGATTGTGCAATCAGTCCTTTCTTGACCTCCAGTCGTTTGCCGCAGACGACCCAGGTATCGCTTTGCCAAGCGAGAGTTCAAGGCAGGCGTCGAAGGCGTGGTTCCTCAGCTGTGACCTGGACCGGTCTCAAAACGTCAAGCAACGGTGCGGTGGTTTCTTTTCCTTTTTGACAGTTGGGTACAGATGCCCATAGACAAGACTTTGTAAATTACAATATCAAATTGTCCACAACAGTTGCCAAATAAATGAGGTTGCTACTTGGTCACCCGCCACAGGTTCACTGTGGCTAGCTGTGCGGTTTTCGGTCAAAGACGCACAAAATGAACATCTCCATCGTCTTAAGGTCTGTAAAACCAATGCGTGTTCTAATTCATGCAATTTCCACGATCTTTTTGTTGTGGAGCAGAGATCTCACAGCCAGTCTTCGCAGCTGTCGATCCCTTGGCGAAGTCTTTCCCGACGCCAGCGCCATTGGTAGAGGCATTCTTTCAACAGGTAGCTTCTTGCCACTAGTAGTAATGCCCTTGTTGCTAGTAGCGATGCCCTTGTTCCTCGTGTTCCTAGTAGTAGTGCCAGGAGCTTCTAGTAGCTTCTTGCCACTAGTCATTGACGTGCTTCTCCTGGGGCTTCTTGTTCGCCTCTTTGGGCAAGGATCAAGAAGGTCTTCAAGCTTGTCCAGCTTCTGCCAATGACCTGTGTAATTACCCTTGGGCCGAACATAGAAGGCTTTCTGACTTTTGCACCTCCATACAGCCTTAATGACAGCCGGACCTCCGTGGCTTTCGAGGCACGAGTCATCGATGCAAAATCACCGTAACATTTGCCACATTGAACGATCGGGGTTCTTGAGACATGTTCGTTCCAAATGCTGCAGAGTACACGCAGCACGGATCACCTCTGCTCAAGACCAAAAGTTTGGTCTCCAAAACATCCCAATGCAATTCCGAGAACATCATATGCATCGCCGCATCGCATATTCTGTATGCGTGTTCCCCACGAATGGATTGCCTCCCCCACCCCCTGGTGAAAGTCACAGGCTTCTACAAAATAGTCGTGCACAAGCCACAGGAGACCTGTGGCGTGCCGAGCTTCTTTGAGACGCACTGATGTCCATAGTTCTTTCGAGATGTTGGGGTTGATGAAGAAGCCATACAGGGAGATTTTGCTTAGAGTTCTTCAAAATGTTGCACGAAAAAAAAGAAGTAGAATTGAAGATGAACTCCGCTAATGTTTATATAGGTCGTTCAGATTTTTCCAGGTACTGCCGAAAGCATTTCTGGCTTGGCAAACTGGCTTGCTTGGCACCGGCTGCAAGCCAACCGGCCCCACCGCGCAGGTCGGTGGTTTGCCAACGAAATGGGCAGCATCCACCAGACCTTCACCCAAGACGAAGAGTTACGCGGCGGAAGAAGCTGCCAGAAAACCCACGGAAAACCCGACGGACAAGTGGTGAACTTGGTAGTTTCGATCGTTGGTGAACTTGGTGCAGGTTTGACCATCCCTCATGAGGGTGTGTATCTCCAAATCTCAAGCTGCGCATAGCTCATGGAGGGTTTCTTTGAAACTAGCAGTCACAGCAGTCATGTGATAGTTACACCAGAATCTGTCCCATCAAGTCATCGCTTGGTGTTGAATTGCGAGGGCATGCAAAGGGCTAGGGTGTTCAACTGTTATTGTCCTCACAGCCTCACAGCACAGCTCTCCAGGGAGTCAGCTGCACTCAATGTGCACCCAGACAAGCATGGTCGTGTAACATAAGAGCTGCCTCTACCTTGGCAACATGATGTAACATGTGAAGCCATGCGAAGCCCGGGCCCTGCTGTAACCCGCGGGCGGCAGTCGCCAGCACTCCCAGCTGGCGCATGGGATGTGCAGAGTGGGATCCTTGTGGCCATAGTCAGCTGAAGACTTGGTGATGGAACCCATTCAAACCACCCATGTACCCACTCATTTGGCCCATACTCGTTGGATTTGCCCACAGGTGCTTGATGATAGCACTTTGGCCCGGCCGTAGCTTGGCTATTCTTGGCTGCTTCGCCCGCTTCCTGCTTCGTGGGGGCACGACATATCATAAGAAGGAAAGCATTAGAAACCTGGGCCTCGTGGAGTGTTTGGGCAGATTTATATGATCCATAGTAGTAGGCCAGGAGCTACTAGTAGCGTCCTTGCTCCTAGTAGTAAGGCCAGGAGCCTCTAGTAGCGAGCAAATGAAAAGCTCCTTAAACATGTATAACTTACATCTAGCAATTGGTAGGGATGGCAATATAACATGGCGTTGTTGTATGTTTATAGGTCCGCACCCTAGCTCATCCCCTTAACTGCAGGGGTGAGGTAGTGGCCTGTTGGTCCGCCGGTCCGTGTTGCACCCGGGTCCGACGCAGCCACTATAGGCCGTCTGGCAATGTATTGCAATCTAGCGCAACCACCTAATGACTTAGGTTCCAGGCCAGAGCGGGCTCAGGTCCATAAAGCAGGAGATTTCAAGACAAGTCCAATGAATTTTGATGGTCTTCCAGCTCCCAAAGCCCCTGCAAGGGTCGGAAGTTCGGACACCTCCACTTCCTCCACTTCCTCTTGACGTCTCCTGATGAGCTATGCGATTTTGGCCACCAAAAACCGGTGCTGTGAGGCTATGTGATGTTCTCGGAAGATCAGCTACCCAAGAACGTCTTCATGCCGGTGGCGGGGCTTGAGACGTAGACTCAGACTCTTGAGACCTATAACCTCCCCCAATTGAATTGAACAACCTCTTCACAAGGGGGGTTTATTAATCAAGAGTCTACATTATCAGATATGATCAGATTTCGGCAGCTTGGATCAGTTCGATTCTGCTCGGAGGGGATGCATGTGCTCGGCTGTTGGAGCACAAAGCCTTCAAGAGGAATCTCTCCACTTCAAGATGCCAGACCAGTTGAAATTGGTGTTGGCTCCCCTTTTTTCACCAGTTAGTCCTGTGGTTGCAGTGGCAAGTGATTGATTGTTCGACACAAATTGCGTCCAACTGTGGATGGCATGACATGGGACGAACATGGCCATGTTCCCTTTTTGGTCTGCAGAAGGAGAAGTGGAGCAGTTCTAGCAGATATGATCCTTAAAAGCTCTGTTTAATTACTGTATGTTTAATTGGTTGAGAACAGCGGTAAACAGAAGAAAAAAGTACATGAAAATGTCCAAGGAGTGGTCAAGAATAGACTTGGCAGCTGGGCAATCAAATTCTATGCCCATGCAATGATCTTACGATATCCCGGCTAACCTCTGAAACTCTCATATAGACGGAAGTTACGGTGCACATTCTCGGGAAGAAGGAAGTGATGTCAAAGGCCCCTTTCCCTTTCCTCAAGCCTTTGACATAGGTAAAGGATTAGAAATTTCCCTATCAAACCTAATTTCCCTATCCCTATCCCTTTCCCTTTCCTCGAGCCAGTAGCATTTCCAGAGAAGGAATGGGAGTGTTTTTTCTCTTCAGGGCTCCACAGATATGCCATTCTCATTCTACTCCTATTTTGTATATTTTGTCTCCACATACACTGACATGAGGGGGCAAACAAACATGCGTGATTTTGCCATGTCAGATCATTGGTTTTTTCAAAGGCTTTCCGAACAAAACATTTTTCTTGTCCACTTCCTCAGCATCCAACCGAGGTGAACCACTCCATCGACCAAGAGCAGCGCTCGATGTTCCTAGCTGATGCAAACTCTCTGCGAGAAAAGACACGAGCTCGGCGGTTGTGGGTGGGAACCACAAGTGCTCAAACTCATTTCAAGACCATCCAAACCAACCAGGTTGGAGGCCATCACTTTTAGGTTGGAGACGGCTCTTTCAATCCACTAGATCCAAACACCCCAGTTGAAACACTTTCTACATCGCCCTCCGGAGCGGCGCTCGAGCATAGGAGCGGCGATGTGTACATCCAGCCCGAATTGGCACGTGACGCCGAACGAGACGTGACGCGTGAAGAGCTCTGAGAGTGGGGAAGAGACGCGCGGTTCGCGCACCACGCGCGAGACGCGCTTACTGTAGCGGCTTAGCACCTCTGTCAGTGGTTGGATCTGTGAAGATGGTGAAGGAGTTGGATGTGCAGACTCACAGGGTACCTTTCGGTGGGGTTTGGGAATGTGGAAGATGTATATAATTAGAAGTTGCTCTTCGCGCAGAAAGGTGTTTCTCGGTCTGAGGGGAATTAAAAGTCACTATCCCTTGACAAGACTTTCTTTATGAAACTAAGTCATAATATCATTTTACTTTTGATCCCATTCTTATTGACTTCAGTTTGTCATTGCCCCTCTTGCTCCTTTCATTCTGCTGATTCCTTTGGATGTCTTTTCAGATCCTTTCAGATACCTAAAAGGCCCAACTTTTGATTTCACTTTGGTTTCGCAAAAATTATGTACCAGTACGTATGGCTTCATGATGATTCCTTTCGATCTTTTCAGAAGATGTCAAACAATGGTTACTCCGATCACTTATACTATAGCATGTACTGCATGCATGTGCGACCTACTGACAGGAAGGGTGGCATTTGCTTCCACATTTCCGACATGTTCCATGGACATGTCAAAGGAACTCCCGACTCCACTGGTGTGACAAATGTGGTCAGGGGCAGTTCCTGCAATGCCTTTGATCCCGGTTTCCCCTTGCTGTCAATGTGGACCTACAAATGGTCATCCTGGCCCTACCTATTGGGCTCCGCAACTGCTAGTCTGTAGAGCTTGGCGCCGTGGACTCACCCCTGCCGTACAGAATGCATGGATGAATGCATGGATCCACATAGAATCTCGTGTGAAGCATCACCTCTCAAAGAAGACAACCGAGGGACGATCCAATGCGTTGGAGGTTCACTGACTTCAACCGTTGATTCATGGCAGCGTGGCGCACAGTCGCACCGGACCCAAGCAGCAGGTGGTGGCAGACATAGTGAAAAAGAGGTGGTGCGAACCTGCTAGGTGCTTTGTGGTGTTGTCTTCCAAAACCACAGCTCTCCCAGAAAAAAGAACACCAAGACAGGTCGCTTGACATTGTGTTTTTGGATTCAGGAAGTTTGCCTGCCAACATTGGCAGGCGTTTGACAGCTGGACAGGAGGGCTCTGGGGTTAGGTGAGTTATGGCATGGCTTGGGATGAACATGATTGACATCTAACAATTCTATCGGGCCTTTTCCTGCTGGAAGTTACGTCGTGTTTCACTAAGTTGAATAGAGTCGTGAAAGTCAAATTCTCCCAAAAGCTCTCCAGCAGTACAGGTATATAATTAACTACATTTATATATACACATCATATCAGTCGTTCACATCCATCAAAAACAAAGAAAGCACGGCAGACTATCAAACTCACTGACCAAGTCCCTTTGCTTAAAAAAGAAGTGAGCCCCCACTGCAATCAAAAAGGGTTATATATGTAGTAATAGAAGACTCTTGCTACCATCATCCATCTGTCGAGTTTCGCAAATGTCGACTCTTACACTTGCGGATTCGCCCAAGGCCAGGCATTTGCTACCATCTTTTCTCCAAGCAGAGGCGAATCTGCTCTTCTCTGGACAGTTGGGTACAGATCTGCAGGTCCTAGATGGTCCTACAGCGATTGAGCAAGGGATTCGAGGTGGTTCAAGTGACGCCCACAGACCGAGCATGACTTTGGGAAGCTTGGATGGTGACTTTCTTTGTGAACTGTTGACCTTTGACTGTTCTGTATCTCCCTTTCATCAACAGCATACTCTTACCAAAGCAACGGTTATATAGCTTGGTTCACATTTGATTTGGAAGGTTAGAAGATCCTCGTCAGAGTACTACATGACCGCGCACGACGCACACAAAACTTGTTTTTACAGTAATTATTCCGCAGTATTCATGTATAATCATAAGAAAAAATTGAGCATTATCTAGAGTGCATATTGTAAATTGTGGTACTGTAATATTGTTTGGGTCACTTTAAGAAAGTAGACTAGTTGGTTTTGAATATATAAATATTGATTTGGTGATTATCATTGTACGAATACCACCGACCTCTATTTTATCTTACAGTAATCCAAACATAATGGAACAATGAAAAGATGGACTTAGAATGACTTAGATTTACACAGGATGGGACACTCGAATTTCAGGTGGTCGTTTCTGACCGTTTGCTGATTAGCCAACTAATTTATGCAGTCGGTCAGTGTTTCCCAAGGCCGACACTGTAGAGTCAAAGTCGAGTGTCACTTGTTGTTTTTCAGTAAGTAAGCGGCCTTAGGAAGTCTCACCACCGAGCAACACTGCCGATGAAAGGAAGTCTCCCGAAGGAAAACACGGACCGATCAACCTCGTCCACGACCGATCAACCCGGGTTTGGTTCTGAGTCCCGGTATCAATTATGAATTGAAAGTGATCAGGGTCCCAAACCAGGTTTTTCTGATTCCTTAGGGGCCCTGCCAACCAAATAGTCAACGGTGATGCTCGCCACCAGGGATACTGACACCACTACATGACTGCTTGGTTGCCGTAGTGTGCGGGCTTGGAGCTTCAACATCAGGTTTCTTGGAAAATTACCTTGCTATAACAAAACCAACTCGAAATACAATCTACAACACTTATGCGAGCTCTATATATATATATACATGCTTGCTGAATGTTTGGTTGTTGAGTCGGAGTTGAATGCTTTGGACGTGTACAACAGCTCCACACCCCAAAGAACTTTCAGTAGTATTGCCAAACAAAATTAATTGGGTGTGTTTGTAACCCTTGATTGATAAAGCAACTTTTGTTTGTAAAGCAACAGAACCTACCACATCTTTCACTAACTCTCACTTAGACTTCTGGTCACCGAAGAAGTGACGTTCACTTTCCATGGGGGTACCCAGCTGGTACTGGGCTACCGGCCGACAGGCTGGCCATGTTGGATGAGCACCGGCCAGCAGAGATGCTGCGTGGGGAATCCAAACCGGATTGAGGAAGTTTTGGAAGCACAGATTCTTTTTTGGGCGACTTGGAGACCTTTGTTGCAGACAGATGGAGATTCGGATGTAACATTGTCTGCAGGTTACACATGTTGGTTGAGAATGCACCTTGGGATGTTTGCCCTTGGCAAAGTTTGCACACGGTCGACCTGTATACATATACACATACTATGAAATGGAACCCTCAGCTCACTACATTGTTCAGGCCACTCCATAGAGTCTAGAGGTCACCATCCGGTGCTGCATAAGTCCCGTGGTTCGAAGTTTCCACAGATCAAACACGACATGGTTGACTCTTCGACTTCAAGAGAGATCCAGTGATGCGTGCCAGGTCGCGACGCTACAAATACTCATTAACGTGTTTTTGATGGTTTTCGGACGGTTTTCGGCTTTGTGTCTTCCCCAAAAGAATCCGGATTTCCCCAGTCGTTCCTGCACAGAGTTCGCCAGTGAACTGGACCGAGACGGTCGGGAGACGTGTTTTCAATGGTGTAGACCGATTCCAGAGCTGGTTCAGAACCTTTTAAGATATTTTTTAGATCGTTTTGGTTTCTGGTATAATGTATATATATATATATCAACCAGGTTGCTTTTCGGATAGGACATCCTGCAGGGTGTTGCAGGATGTTATCCTGACCTTTGACTTTTGTTCGGCAGGTCCAATCTTGAGGAATATGATCAAATCCTGCACCTGGGATCCGTGCCAAGCTATGTAAGTCATGGGATTCTATGTAAGGCATGGGATTCCGACTATGTAAGGCATGGGATTCTGATCTATCCCTGCTATTGGAAGGCATGAGTTTCTCTCAATCATCAGTTCTGCAGTCCAAGGCTCAGCGTTGGAGGACGTGTGTAGCTTGGCAGCGACAGAGTGATTTCAAAACGCAGTCGGCTTTGGATTGGTTGCGGTCAACGGTTTGTTGACGTCATGTTGATGCATAGAGGCCATGAACATGTTGTTTCTTTGCAAACCACATGGCATTTGGGGTATATACCATGTTAGTAAGTTGCCCCACAGAAGGAATATTCATCTTGGTATCGCCAACATGCCATCCCAATCCACATCTCAGAGAAACTTCAATCTCCTTTAAAGGTGTACAACTACATAATCCAAATCTGCTCACATTGACTGAGAAAAGATCCTAGTTGGATTCATGCAGAACGCCAAGGCAGCCAAGGGTACCATGATCTGTAGGGAACACCTGAGGCCCTTGGGTATCCTTGGGTGGTAGGCAGAAACCGGCTCAAGTTAAAGACGTTTTTCTTGGTGAAATCGGTAGTCTGATTCACTGATGCATAGTGCATATATGTTGTGTTTCTTCTGTGTTGCGGCCACACATCAGAGTGTCTATAGGGTGATTTGCGCGCAACTATACAAAATCTGTCCTGCCTTAGATCCTACATTGTACTTGGCACCATCTAAGAAATCCTGTGACAACAGTGAAATAATCCTGGTACTAAACAACACAGGCGTTTGGACCTTTTACCCCGGCAGCATGTTGGAGCTTCGAACATGTCACCACACGCGGTTTTGCCATCCATGTGTCATTTCATCATTCAGTCGACCAGATGCTAGCGGCCTTCAATGCTCCATGTGTCATTTCCTCCACGTGGAAGGAATCCACAAAAAAGAGAACCAACTTCCCCAAAAGGCCATACACTACTAGGAGCGGCATCGCTACTAGGAGCGGCATCGCTACGAACGGGGCTCCTGGCATCGCTACGAGTCCGGAGCATTCTTACTACGAAGGGAACGTTCGAAAGGCCACCGGATGGCGTTCGAAGCGGAGTCCGGACTCTTCGAGCATCCTCCAGGCCTTCATGCTCAACTGGTGCTGGCCAGGCGCAGCTCCCAGGCGAGCGTCCGAGCGTCCAGATGTGGTGTTGGTTGGACAATGAGAGAAAATTGAGAGAAGTGCTCAGGTGAGCTACTGAAGTAAAGCAAATTTGGGACATGTTTGGACCAGGCAACATCCGAATGTGTCCAAAATTGCTTGCTCTGACCAGGAAGGGCTCCTGGGCTTTCTGCGCCGGGCTC